GGCGAGGAAGGTGTGGGGAACAGAAAACAAACAAGTAAACCAACAGGGAGCAAGCTAACTACAGACAATAACAGAAACTTAGAAGAGATTGGGATATGACAGGGAGGGACTAACAAGACAGGGCAGGCCATGGAAGGATCTGGGGAGAGGGGTCCAACCAGAGCAGATGAAGAGAGAACGAAGGCCAGTGTGGTCAGAGGACAGAGAGGAAGGACGGGGCGAGGGGCTGGCGGGAGCTGAGGTTGGAGAGGTGTGTGTGCGCCCGTAGGTGACCTTGAAGGGTGGGGCGGGGAGTGCAGGGTCTGCAGGGTCCTGTGGCCACTGTAAGGATGAGCTTCTCCTCTGAGAAAGCTGGACGCTGTCAGAGGATTGGGTCAAATATGACACAACTTTTTTTTTTTAATTGTGGTAAAACATACAGAACAAAATTTACCATTTTAACCATTTATAAGTGCACAATTCAGTGGCATTAAGTACATTCATAATGTACTTGTGCAATCATCGTCTTTTATCTTTCCAGAGATTTCTCACCTTCACAAACTGAAACTCTGTGTCCATTAAACAACAACTCCCCATCCCTGTCCCCCAGCCCCTGGCCACCACCATTCTGCTTCCTGTCTCTGTGGCTCTGACTGCTCTGGGTACCTCACGTGAATCAGTCTCTGTCCTCACTCAGCATTGTGTCTCCAATCCATACTGTAGCACGATGACATGTTTTAAAAGGGTCCCTCTGGCTGCGGCACTGAGGACAGACCAGAGGGGAGGAAGGAAGGAAGGAAAGAGGCTGGGAAGGGCCATGCCCTGGTCCAGGTGAGAGTGGGGCTGGGACCAGGGAGCCCCTGGCATTGCTTGTCTTCTGGCACAGAAGCAAAGGTGGCAAGTTCCCCAAGACGCCCTGTGCCCTGAGGCCCAGCTCGGCAAGGGCTTTCCAGGGCCAGAGCTCCCAGGGCCACCAGCTTACCTTTATAAAGTTCACTTTGCAGTGGCAGGAATCGTCATTCAGGTTCTTGATGACAATCTCTCCGTAGTGCTCGATCCACCTCTGCCCGCTTAAGATGTTGTGGATGCAGGAGGTGACTTTGTTCCACTCAAAATGATCCCCGAAACTACAGGAGGAAAGAGTGAGAGGAGCAATGTCCAGAGGAGCCAGCAGCGAATGCAAACAGGCATTGCTGTTTCAAACATTAAGTCACGCAATGCATACATGTATCTTAAGATACATATATCTTAAATCTGTTACAATGAGAAAGTATTCAAATACTAGTTACAGAGATAAATAATAATCATGAGGGTAATGGTAATAAGACCAGACACTTACACGGCACGCACCATGTGCCAAGTACTAGTTTACGTGTTTAATTTTCACCGCAGGCCTACGAAGTAGGTGGCGTATTATCCCCAGTTCACAGATGACAGCACTGGAGAGCGGGAAGGTTATGTGACCTCCCAGGATTTGCACCCAGTAAGTGGCAGAGCGAGAGCACATGGGTCCCGGTGGCCTGGTTGCAGGGGCCATATTTTGTTTTATGAGTATGTGTCAACAATCCCTGAAAGACCAAGGCCACGCCTGTCTTCACAGAATTCAGGCAGTGAGGCCGGACAACAACATTAAAGAAAACCACCATTCTTAATTTTGTTAAAAGTAGAAATGAGTTTTTAAAAAGTGTCTTTTCTGGGAACTTTGGTCTCCAGGAAGCATTTTCATTTGAGGGAAATAAAATGTGAGGTTGTCAAAATAAGTTCTGTTTGAACTTACTGTCAAACAGATTAAAAACCAGAAACAAAAAACCAGACACTCAGTGCCCTGGGGGACCAGGCAGCCTGTACCTAAAGCTGGTACCTTGGCCCTAAATTCACTCAAGTTCCCAACCACAGAGGCACTTACGCTGGCAGAGTCACATGGGTTGTGCCAATGGGAACAATTTCCATGGATTTTCCCCAGAATTTGTTTTTCCATCTCACGTCTGAAATGAAATAACACCAGGTATCACACATTTAGCAGGAGAGCTAGGCAGAGTTCTTAGGCTGCACAGATGACACTCGAACAATCTCTTCATAATAAAACCCGTTATCATATAGGACAACTTTTTATTTTCTTTAAGTACCAACTGAGTACCTGGAACAGAATCGGGGAAGCTAAAACGATAAGATTAAGTCCCTCCCTTGGGAGAGCTCACAGGCTATAACTGAGTATGTTGTATGGTGAAATGGAACCAGAGAAGGAATGGCCCACATGCTTGGGGAAAGCATCATAAGAAGCCCGTCTAAAGGGGCCACTTAAATTGGGCTTTGAAGAATACGCAGGAGTTCACCAGGCAGAGAAAAAGCAATTGAAGCAGAAGACAAGAAGAGCTTGTTCGAGGGGAGGGAACATGGTGTGGTTCTTTCCTACGGGTCTCAAATAGTCTAGAGACATGAATGAAAAGACAGATTGGGTACAAAAAACAGTGGGCTCTACAGCCTGGCTAAGAAGTCTGGTTTGCGTGCCTCGGGGGAAAATAAGGTGTTTGTTTGGCTAGAGAACTGATGTGATTAGACACAGACTTTGCAAGGACAATTGGCAGCCATATGGCGAACAGAAGAGGCGCAGGAGAGGTGAGAAGCAGGTGACAAGTTACAAGGCTACTGCAGTTGCGCAAAAAATGACCGAGGATGCAGAGAACCAAGACATTAGCGGTGGGACGGAGTGGGAGGGCACAATCCCAGGGCCGTTGAAGAAGTCGAAACAGCCTGGGTGACAACGTAGATGCAGAGTGTGAATGACAGGGAGGACTGGTGGATGATTTCAGGCTTTTTATATATCTAAAATATATATATATATATATATGTTGACTTCAGAGAGAGGGAGAGGGAGAGAAACATCAATGATGAGAGAGTTATTGGTCGGCTGCCTCCTGCACGTCCCCGACTGGGGATCAAGCCTGAAACCCAGGCATGTGCCCTGACAGGATCAAACCTCGATCTCCTGGATCACAGGTAGATGCTCAACCACTGAACCACGTCGGCTGGGCTGATTTCAGACTTTTTAAATTTGCATGAATGGCAGTGCCAACAGGGAGACAGGGAATAGAAAAAGAATAGCTGCTCCCTCTGGCTGCTGCACGGCAGTTCGGACCACAGGGGAGTAGAGGTGAACGCAGGGAGGCCAGTAGGGAGCCAGGGCCATGGTCTAGGAGAGAGGTGGGCTGCGGCCAGGAAAGCCCTGGCCACATAATATAAATTCCATTTATATGAAATATCCAGAATAGGCAAATCTATAAAGACAGAGAGGAGGTTAGTGGTTGTCTAAGGAAGGAAGAGGCTCATGGAAATTGGAAGTAGGGGTGGGGAGGATATTTGCTAAATGAGTTTCTTTTTGGAGTAATGAAAATGTTATAAAATTGATTCTGGTGATGACTGTACAACTCTGTGAATATACTAAAAACCACTGACTATCTCAATAAAGTTGGTACCAAAAAAAAAAAAAAGATGATTGACTATGTAAAGCAAACACAGTAGCAACGTATTGCTGGGTTTACAACGTATGCCCACAATAGCACAAAGGCTGGTGGTGGTGGGGGAGATAGAAACATATTTTGTAAGTTTCTTATAAAACAGGTGAGGCGCCATGTTACTGGAAGGTAGACTGTGATACATTAAAGATACATAACTATGAATCCTAAAGTAACAACTAAGAAGTGAAACAAAGAGGTATAGCTAATAAGGCAACAAGGGAGACCTAATGGAATCACAGAAACTACTCAGTCCAAAGGAAGGCAAGAAAAAAGAAAAAGGGAAACAATGTACAAACAGAAAACAAGAGGCCAGGTTTAAACCCAAGCACATCATTAATCACAATAAATGTAAATGGTCTAAACAACCTAAGTAAAATGTAGAGAAATACCAGATTGGATTTTAAAAAGCAAGACTGGGGAGTCACGGGCCTGTGGGAATAAGTGGGGTTGGCACCAAGAGGCTGAGAAGGAGAAATAGAAGGATGCTGAGGAGAAGACTGTAAGAAGCAGGAGCACCAGGAGCTACTGGAGAAGGCCCTTCCCGCTGTGTCGCACACAGCACAGCAGGAACGCGGCGCTACGCGGGCAGTGACACTTAGCAATTAGGAGCTTCGAGAGCTTATGAGGGTTATTTCCAGAGGCTTTCAGTGAAAGTTAGAGAAGTTTCTAATCAACTTTCAAGTCTAAACTTCAGTAGCCAAGATTCAGAAAAGAAACGCTGCTACTTATCACCTAAATGGATAAAACTCATTGTCTCCAGAGACAGGAACGGGGGCGAGGAAAGAAGATTTAAAGGAAATTTATTTTATTTTTTTTTACAAAATACTCTTTCATGTCATTTAAGTTTTATAGCTGGATTTTTTTAGGCAATGTGGCAAAGCAGGTGGTAGCACTGTTAGCAGAGAAAAATGTTTTTAAAATTGATGCGGGCCCATTGTTTGAAAACCCAGGATGCTCCCACTTTATTTCTATAGTACATTGTCAGTTCCGGGTAAATAAATGAGTTAGCAAAGTGAACTAACCCATTTAGGAAGTATTTGTAGCTTTATTTGTTTTTCGGAACAACCCATACCCTCCCAAATCCAAAATACAAACTAAATAAAGGAACAACCGTCAGCTTGAGAATGTAAAATGTGATTTTAGAAATTAAATTTTGAAATTTTAAACGCAAAAACCCCTCTGCTATCTGGACTCTGATGATAAATAACTACAAATATTTCGTGCATCTTAAAATGTGAGGCATTTCAAGTGTCTGTGGAATAAAATAGGAGAAAAAGTTACATGAATAAATGGTGGTGACCCGAAGCCTGAGAATTTTTAAAAAGGGAAACAACTAAATTATCCTCCTGACTCCTCAATTATGAAGTAGACAATTGTCAGTTATCGTTCAGAGATGCCAGGCAAGGACATCAGCAGATGCTTTTCACCTTAACGAGCATTTAGCAGCAGGTCCTTAATGAAATAAATCTATAACATCACAAAGAATGATGGGTTCCAATACATTAGCACGTTACCTTGCCAGAAAACAAAATTTCCAGACTCAGCGTGACAGGCGGAGATAGGTGGATGGTGGCTGACCTGATGGAAACAAAGGCCAAAAAAAAAATAATTACTGACTTTTGTGCTTCACGAAGTCCACTCCCTCTGCCTAGTTTTCTTTCACCAAGTCAGTCCTTCAGAGGGCGGGCGCTCCTAACACGGTCAGCTCCAATCTGCTCAAGTTCGTTAGGGGTGAGAAGAAACCAGGGTGAACGGGAGCCTCTGAAGCCTTGGAGAAAATGAGCCAAGTGAGTGACGGGGACAGACACACGTTTCGAAAGACGTGAAAATCCAAACGGGGGCACGCAAGGGCTGCCCCGCTCGTAAACCCTATAATCTGACATTGGCGACCAGGCCAAAACCCCTCTTAGCTGTTCTGAAAGTACCTGCAATTAATTAAACAGTCAGATCATAATTTTTTTTTTTTTTAATATATCTTTATTATTAACTTCAGAGAGAGGAAAGGAGAGGGAGAGAGAGAGAAACATCAATGATGAGAGAGTCATTGATCGGCTGCAGCCCGCAACCCGGGCATGTGCCCTGACCGGGAATCGAACCCTGATCTCCTGGATCCCAGGTCGATGCTCAAGCGCTGAGCCACGCCCGGCTGGGCCATAAATATTTTTAAGTACAACTTCCAAGCAACACAAAAAGTCTCTTTGCCTCAGCAGATTTCACTCTTGAAAACTGCATCTCAAGTCCAGCGTCTTTGCAAATTACCTACAGGAAGACTGATTCAAGGTCAGTTTTTCAAAAGGATGTTTCTACAAAGAGCTAAGCAAACAATGATTCGAGAAATATCAGTCAACTGCTAAGAAGAACATTCTGAGTCATCTTCGGTCAAGATAAAAATACCAGGTTTGAGTAAATCCTCAGTTACACCCTAGAAAAGCAAATCCCGCTGCAGACGGTGGCACTCGCCCGCCTCTTGTCACTGCAGCCACGGCTTCTGTATTATTCACTAATGAGGGAGCTAATGAGAAAAGGGCTCCTCAGCAGCTCGAGGCAGGTGGCCAGTACATGCCCTTATTATACTTCGGTGTTAGTAAAACCAGAGTAACACGGCCAGCGGTGTCCCCAGAAATTTCTGGCAGCTGGCTCCTGGCAAAGTATCTTAGGCGTAGAGCATCAGCCCAAAGGTTTCATGTTACAAGTGAGGAGACAGAAAACAGAAAGACTAAGTGAGGTTTCCCAAAGGCACTGATGGGGAGGGAGTAAAGGTAAGACCCCCCCACCCGTGGCCTCCTCAAATCCGCCCGACCCTGCGCCCTCATCTGCAGTGAGGAACATGGTCTGAAGGCCACCTCTGGGGGCCACCCCTCTAGGTAGGAAACGGCAGGGATGGGATAATCCAGAGTCCGGTCACATGCACATTTTAACTGATGCAATTTCACCTCCCAGCTTGGCCCCAGGAAAAGCAAAGACAAAGATGTACATAGTTCTGGCATCTCTCAGTTCTCAGTGAACACAGATCTCAGATCCAATATGAGGCGGGGGACGCAAACCTGCTGCCCCTTCGACGGTTTTAGTTCCCACAGGGCCCCTCCCTGAGGCTGTGGGGTTCCCCAGGGCAGTTTTTACTTCTGGCCCATTTAGACACCTACCTCCTAAAACGCAGCCCTGTGTGTTTTCCTTGTCTTCTTTTTTAATGCAACTTCTAGAAGATACTTTATATCACAAAACGCTGCATCTCTGCCTCCCCTCCCCCCCCCCAGCTCTCTCTCAATGAAAACGGTGGAGTTAACTTTTAAACTTGGGATCATAGAAAAAACCAGGACAAGGCAAC